GGTCCCTATCAAACTGACCCTGTGCTGAGGGAACTCAACTCCAAATCTGGTGAAGGTTCAACCAGGGGTTTCTGAGCAGGACGTGTCAACCAGGCAGTGAGAATTGCTATTGGCAGGAGAGGCCGAGCACCACGCCTGGGGCTTATCTCTGCAGCTGGGGCAACCTCCTCCCAAAAAGCTTATAATAGTCAGGCATGAAAAGCTGATCAATCCCCCGTTTGCTGGCACCAGGAAGCACAGAACCCAGTCCAGCCACGGGTGCTCAGCAGTGAGGGAAAGTGTTTTAATGTGATGGCAAATAACGTTGGTGTTGGTCAGGAATGAGTGGCTGCAAAATATTTCATAGCAGAGATGAAGGAGGAGTGGAAGAGCAGCTGGGCAGGGCAGGGGGGCTGCCTCCTCCCCAAGACACTGCTGGGTATTGCTGAATATTCATGGGCAAAGCAGCCCTGCAAGTGGTGGAGATAAAAGCTTGTGGCTCACAGCTGGTGGCAGAGATCTTCCAGCCAGCTCCAAAGTGACACCCAGGGTGACACAGCACCTCGCCCTGATACAGCTGCTTCGCCCTGATAGCCCAGGCAGGGCTGCAGCTTGCCCAGGGCACGTTGCTGGGCTGCTCTGTGGGTGCTGTGGGGACACCCCAAACTGTCAGTGTGGGCCTGTGGTGTCCAGTGATGTCCCCAAGGATGGGACAGTCTGACTGGAGCAGGAGGAATCCCAGGATACCACAGGGAGGCTGGGGATTAGCACCACTGCAACCGGTGGCAGCATCCTGCTGGGGAGGAGTGACATTTCACTTTCCCAGTTGGGATTACTCCCACAGAAAATGTGACAGCTGAAAGTCTTCAGAGGACCAAGCAGAAACACCACTCGAATCAATGCGCAGATTTGTTCAACCAAGAGTTATGTCAGCTCCTAAATTATTAAATAATAGATGACTGAATCACCGGGGAACATTGCGTTCCTCTTGCATCGTCTATTTTCTATTTGTCTGGACCTCGCGTTTATTTTAGTCCACAACAGTGTTTGTTTGAAGGGCACTGAGGGAACGTAACTACTGGCAGATTGTAACCCATGAGGAGAAACTTCAGAAATGAAAGAGGAAATGCAGAGGGTGACAGTGTTTCTAGGAAGCCAGGGTGCTCCTTGCGGGGGCTGGCAGGCCGGGCTGCTGCTCCAGCAGCTGCTTTGCCGAGCGGCTGCGACGGTTGCCAAGAGAAAAGCGTCTTTATTTTGCCTCTTTGTGGCTGGGTGGGGTGTGAAAGGGGAGGCAGCTGCGCTTCAGCACCAGGGAAGATGAGACCCCGCCTCTTTAAGGCAGGTCTCGGGTGTCGTGAGGGATCCAAGGTCGAATCGGAGCTGCTAGAATTGCACCACTGCCCTCGGGCCTCTTGTTTGCAAAAGGGGCTGATGCTCCAGTTTTCCTCGCCAAGCAACACTGCTCAGCACCAGAGGACATGTCAGGATTGGGACTGTCACTCAGGTTTTGGGACAGTGTTTCTGGGGTGGGATTTCAACACGGTTTACAGGGACTGGGAATAAAACCAGCAAAAACAGGGGAAAGCTTGTCTGATGTTCAGATGATCTGTGGATCTTTGTGTCAGGAGATAATTGTGACATCTTGTGGCGATGGGAACGTGAGGAAAAGCACAACTGGGAACTGCAAAGAAGTGATGCAGCAAAGGAAGAATCTCCTCCCTCCCAGGGGTGAATCCTGCTTGCAGGTCCCCACTGAGCATGGAGATGGCCAGGGAGAAGAGGCATAAGGTTCTGGCTGCTGTAGGGAGACCTCAGGGCCTGGCTGAAGGTGGGTGGAACACACCCCAGTGACAGAAAGAATGTATTTCACCTCTCCAAGTAGGAGTTACATTCTTCAAGTGATGGTCTCTGTCAAAGAGCAGCATGTACATAAAAAGAAGAAAAACCCAGCCTTTCTTCACAAGCCCATTTGCACACAATGCTGTCCCCAGGGGGAGTGTGAGAAAAGAACAAACCACACAGGAAGAGGGTAGTTATGTCTGTCATCTAAGTGATGTGTGACACTGCTGCAGTGAGTGTCTGAGGACCTCGGGTGCTGTCACCCTCAGGCTGCTTCTGCTTGGCAAACACCTGGGGCAGCCAAACCCCTCCCCAAAAGGGAAAGGCAGCTGAACGTCTGAGCATGAGCACCATAAACCCAGCCCTGCAACAATGAGGAAGTAGCAGCCAGCAGAGAGTCCCATCAGCTGGGACTCTTGGGGTCAGGGCTGTCTCTGAGGACAGGGTGTGAGCCACCTGGCTCTGCCACAGGACTTGCTGGCTGCTGTCCCTCTGTCCCCATCAGGCCACAGCAGGTTGCTCAGCAGCTCTTCCTTGTTTAAGGATCTTTAGGGGGAGGTGAAGGATGCTCCCAGCTTTAAGAAGGTCAATGCAAACATTTCCTGGTGGTTTTAATTTCAGAGTAGACTTTTTCAACACCAGCCACAAAGCTCTACCTTGTCAGCCGTGCTCCCAGGCTGGTTACCCACTGGCAGGGGCAAGCTGGAAGCCATGAATGTGTTGCTGCATTAAAAATAACACTGCTAATTATACCCTGGGAGAAGGGCTGCTCAGTCAGTACATTTCCCATCTTTCACTACAGATTCCTAACTTTGTTCCCCATCAAAACCTCACCTCATGACATAAACCCAGCAGTCTGCAGTGAAGCAGCAGTTCTGATCCAGACAACTTCTTCATTCCACTCACTACACCACAAAGTCAGAAACCCAAAACCTTATTCCCAGTTCTGCAGAGTCCTTTGAGCACAAAAACCACAGCCTGCTTCACAGAATGGTAGGGGTTGGAAGGGACCTCTGGAGATCTTCCAGTCCACCCACTTCCAGCACTTCAGGTTTATTTCCCTCATTTTCCCTCAGGACTTGGAACTCCTGCAGGCTACTTGTCTCCCACTGTGGAACCACAAGAGGAACTGAGGTGCCAGTGAAGAGGCTGGTCCCCAGGCAACCAGAGCTGCAGTCCTGCCCACAACCCAAACCCCACCAGAAGATCACAGTAAAAAAGGGAACGTGGCTGCGTGGGACACATGGTGTCACCTCAGCCCTTGGCTGCCTTCATGGAACACAAACATCCCCGGAAGAGTCGGTCTGGCAGTATCTTGAGCCCAAACCTGGTTGGGAACGAGCAGGACAGGAACCTGTAAGGCCGGCAAGGCCACCCCGACCCCTGCTGGGGAGCTGTGACAATGCACGGTGGCAGTCACAGCGCCGGCAGCTCTGCCGGCAACGACCACGCCCCGGCTGCTGCAAACAGGCTGCCGGCCCGTCTTGTCCCGGGAGACACCACCG